ACTACAGACATACCATTATTAGTACGTAACAACAGAGACCCGGTATTTTTTACCGGTCATTATAAAATTGAGTCAAAATATAAAGTTAATAAAAAAACACAAAAAAAATACATTATGTATTTTTCTGTAGTGTCTAGGTATGGGAGAACTGGTGAAATGAGTTATTTTAGTAATAAAATACAAGATTTGTAAAAAATAATCTAATAAGCGATAATTTTGGTAACATTTTTGGTCCATTGAAACAAACAAACATAATTGCATTGAAAAAAAAATTTTGATTTTTTTTAAACAAATAAACCTAATATATAATCAAAGGAAACAAAATAGGATTAACGAAAATCTACCGGGTGGTGAATCGTCAAACAGGCCATAGGAAACTCAATGGGAAATTTTAAATTGTTGAATTGCTGCTTCCCTAATTATTTTAGATCAAAAGTTATAAAAAACTATTTGTAGAGGACTAAATTTTAAATTAAAACAAATGTTAAAACCGTTCTACGAATCACATGTACCTACTTCAAAATTTTGCAAAAATATAATAGATTTTTCAGACCACCCCTAAAAGTTAGACCACACGTAAATCAAGAATATATTATAACGTGTGTGTTTTATCATATTGATTTCAGATGTTTGACAATTTGAATTGTCATTTTTTTTATTTTATGATTAAATTATAAACATGAATTTTACTAAATACTACTACTACTGAACAATATTCCTTTGTGAACAATAAATTATATTGTTTACAAATCGATCAATATAATAAAATGTACTCAGTTGACGAAAAATCCCATAATTTTTTATTCAGGCAATAACGCGAACCTTTTCCTGCTACCGGATCTTTATTTAACGTAAGATATTCTAATACACTAAAATTTAATTCCATGTTAAGTTAAGTTATACATCAATTCAATGAATTCCAATATACTGTTACTGTGATCTTTATTCTTAATAATAATCTATATATATATATATATATATATATATATATATATATATATATATATATTATATATATATATATATATATATATATAGGAAAGTCGTGTTAGTTACACCACTTATAACTCAAGAACGGCAGAACAGATTTGGCTGAAAATTGGTAGGGAGGTGGTAGCTTAGAGCCAGGAGATGGACATAGGATACTTTTTATCCCATTCGACAGCGTTCCCGTTTGACTTGACATGAAACGTCAGTCACTATAAAACGTGCTATAACAAAAAAGAATCAGACTTGGAATAACAAAACGCAAATGACAGCTATGTAATTGACGTAAAATGACAGCTATGTAATGACGTATGGATGACAATTTGATATTTGTAAGAAATCAATATTAAAACTATTTCTATTAAATAACTAAGTTAACAAGTGGATTGAAGTGAAGTGAAGTTTAATTAATAATGCCGCGACCAAGACGATCGAATCTTTCCCGACAAAGCCGTAATGCAAGAAGAATACAAAATACTGCAAATGAAAGGACTGAAGAAGAACAAGAAATTGCACGTGAATAGCGCCGCGATAGTATGGCTCGACTTCGTGCTTCTCAATTACGAGAGCAAAGTGAAGCAGCCCGTGAAACAGCTCGGATGGCAATGCAGAATCGTCGAGCGAAAAACAGAAGGCAACAAATAGATAATTTGCGACGCAGAACAAGATATTTAGCTGGTTTGAATCGAGCAGCGTTTCGATACGATTGCAGCAATGATTACAGCTTGCATCCTAGCGTTTGCATTGGGCAAATGGACGTTGTTTGCGAGTATTGTGGTGCATTAAAGTTTTCCAGAGAAACGCCTGGATTATGCTGCCTTAATGGTAAAGTGAAATTGCCAGTGTTGACTCCGCCACATGAGCCATTGTATTCATTGCTTTGTGGCGAAACACAAGAATCACGCCACTTTCTTGCAAATACTCAAAAACACAATAGTTGTTTCCAAATGACGTCATTTGGGGCAGACATTATCCAAGAAGGAGGATTTAATCCGACATTTAAGGTATTTATTTTTGTACTTACATAGAATGTAGTTAAAGAATAACTATTGGTATGTATTATATTTGCTAATACTGAACTCTACTCTCCCACAGAAAAAGTGTTTATAGCCCAGTTAATACTGTCTGGTTTTTATTTTGTAGATACAAGGACATATTCACCATCGAATTGGATCATTACTACCTTTCGAAGATACACAGAATAAATTTTTACAAATATATTTCATGGGCAACATGGAAAAACAACTTGATCGACGCCTAGGGATCAATGCAGGAATGAAGCGAGCAATTATTCAAGACTTGCAGTGTCTGCTTCATGAACATCATGTGTTGGTCAGGTTGTTTAAGAGTGCTTTAGAGCGCATGCCAAATGATGACTATAAAGTTGTCATCAAAGCAGATAAACGACCATCTGGAACACACGAACGCACATTTAATCTCCAACAGTAGACAAAGTTGCCATCCTGACTGTTGGTGAACAATTGGAAAAACGCGATATTGTGCTTTTTTGTCGCGATAGTGGGCAACTGCAACAAATATCTGAAACTCATCGATCATATGACGCATTGCAATACTCACTGATGTTTTGGCAAGGAGAAGATGGATATTATTTTAATATTAAAATGATAAATCCATTGAATGGTAAAGTATCAGTATCTTAATAATGGTTAATGTCTGTATTATTTGTATTTGAAGTGGTTAATTATCAAATTTTTAATTTCAGGTGAAGAAACTACAAAGAAAGTTAGCTCAATGAATTATTATGCATATCGTTTGATGATTCGTCAAAATTCTGACAACTATTTGCTGCGGTTTCGTCGATTGTTTCAGCAGTATTGCGTTGACATGTATGTAAAAATAGAAACGAAACATTTAACATTTATTAGGTTGAACCAAGCCAAACTGCGTTCTGAGGAGTACATCCATTTACGTGATGCAGTTAGTACTGAAAGAAATGCAACTAATATTGGTCGATTAACTATTCTGTCGGCGACGTACATTGGTAGCCCACGTCATATGCATGAATATGCACAAGATGCAATAACATATGTTCGTCATTACGGCCGGCCAGATCTCTTTATTACTTTTACCTGTAATCCAAAATGGATAGAAATTACTCAATTGCTGCTTCCCGGACAAACATCAAATGATAGACACGACATCACAGCACGTATATTCAGGCAATAAATTCGGTCCCTGATGAACTTTATTGTTAAACAACGCGTCTTTGGAGATACTCGATGCTGGATGTATTCAATCGAATGGCAAAAGCGAGGCATGCCACATTCTTATTTGGTTAGTGGAAAGAATTCAGCCTGACCAAATAGATATCATATGTGCCGAGATTCCTGATTATGAAGTCGATCCAGACCTACATGATGTTGTTACTACTAATATGATTCATGGACCGTGTGGTGCCATCAATCCCCAATCACCTTGCATGGTCGATGGAAAGTGCTCTAAACGATATCCACGGAAATTAATGGCGGAGACTGTCACTGGCAACGATGGGTATCCGCTGTATCGGCGTCGATCACCAGATGACAACGATCGAACTGTCACAACGAAAGTGAAAAGAATGGATTTCGTTGTCGACAACAGTTGGATTGTTCCATATTCGCCACTTATTTCTAAAACGTTCAAAATACATTGCAACGTTGAATACTGAAATTCAGTTAAGTCCATAAAATATATTTGCAAATATGTCACGAAAGGCAGTGATATGGCGGTTTTTGGATTGCAATCCTCAAATACCAACGATGAAATTTCACGCTATCAAGTTGGTCGTTATGTGAACTGTAATGAAGCGATTTAGCGTATATTCTCATTTCCAATTCACGAACGTCATCCTACTATTATACATTTGGCGGTGCATCTAGAGAATGGTCAACGAGTATATTTCACGGCTTCGAATGCTACGCAACGTGCTGAAGCACCTCCAGCAACTACATTGACCAGTTTTTTTGCAATCTGCCAAAGCGATCAGTTTGCACGAACTTTGCTTTACTCGGAGATGCCACGTTATTATACTTGGAATGCCTCATCCAAGAATTTTCAAAGACGGAAGCAAGGTGATGCGGTTCCTGGGTATCCAGATGTGCGTTCTACTGATGCTCTTGGTCGTATGTATACAGTTCATCCAAAGAATGATGAATGTTTCCATTTGCGGTTGTTGCTGGTAAATGTACGTGGGCCAACTTCATTTGAGACACTACGAACTGTCAATGGTGTAATATTCCCAACATATCGTGCTGCATGTGAAGAATTGAACTTATTAGAAAACGATACCCATTGGGATACGACAATCGCTGAAGCCATTATCTCTGCGTCTCCAGGTCAGATACGCACATTATTCGCTATCATAATTTCGACATGTTTTCCATCAAACCCATGTAAGCTGTGGCACAAATACAAGGATAGTATGTCAGAAGATATTTTACATCAAAGTCGTGTCAGTTCCAGAAATCACGATATTGAGATGAATGAGGAGATACATAATCGTGCTTTACTCTTGATCGAAGATATGTGTTACCTCATGTGCGGTAATTTATTAATCAGATTAGGAATGCCAGCGCCAAATCGTGAAATGAATGACGCATTTAATCGAGAATTGGAACGGGAACGTGAATATGATCACCAGGAATTAGATTTAGTAGTTCAAAGGAATGTACCCTGTTGAATTACCAACAAAAGGAAGTTTATGATACTTTAATGAAGGCAATCGCTGATGAAAATGGTGGTTTATATTTCCTAGATGCCCCTGGTGGAACTGGCAAGACATTCCTTATGCGATTAGTTTAGCAACTGTTCGGGCGAGATCCAACATAGCGGTTGCAGTTACTTCTTCTGGAATAGCAGCCACATTGTTAGAAGGATGCCGTACGGCTCATTCAGCATTCAAATTACCGTTAAATCTTCAAACTATTGAAGAACCAACGTGTAACATTGCAAAACACTCAGCAATGGCCAAAGTTTTAGCGGCATCGAAAATCATCATCTGAGACGAATGCACAATGGCGCATAAACGTGCATTAGAAGCACTTAACCGAACATTAAAAGATTTACGCAATGACTCGAGATGTTTTGGGGGAGCAATAATTTTACTGTCTGGCGATTTCCGCCAAATACTGCCAGTAATTCCAAGATATACAGCTGCCGATGAAATAAACGCTTGCCTCAAATCGTCAAATCTATGGCGCTATGTGAAGAAACTGCAGCTGACAATAAACATGAGAGTTACATTGCTTAATTATACATCTACTGAAGATTTCTCGGAGCAATTGCTGACTATCGGTAATGGTCAAGTACCTGTCGATGAATCGAGCGGATTAATATCATTTCCAAATAATTTCTGTAATTTTGTCTCATTAAAAGACGAACTTATCAACAATGTATTTCCAAATATTATTTCTAACTACAAAAATAATGAATGGGTGAGTGAGCGAGCAATTTTAGCGGCTAAGAATAAAGATGTAGATGGCCTGAACTACATAATTCAAAATAAGATCATTGGAACAATGCATTCATTCAAATCTATTGACTGCGTCACAAATGAAGATGAAGCCACCAACTATCCAATTGAATTTTTAAACTCTTTGGACGTGCGTGACTTACCACCGCACAATTTATGCCTAAAGGTTGGCTCCGTAGTAATCATGCTTCGAAACATAAACCAACCAAAACTGTGCAACGGTACGTGTTTGGTGGTTAGTAAATTAATGAACAATGTAATTTACGCTACGATAATGATAGGAAAATTCAAAGGTGAGGAAGTTCTCATTCCGAGGATCCGATGATCCCAACCGATATGCCGTTTGAATTTAAAAGACTTCAATTTCCGATACGTCTTGCATTTGCCATGACCATCAACAAATCACAAGGCCAATCCTTAAAAGTTTGTGGTTTAAATCTAGAACATTCATGTTTTTCCCATGGTCAATTATACGTGGCATGTTCACGGGTCGGAAGACCATCTGCGTTGTTTGTTTTTGCGCCTGATAATAAAACAAAAAATGTCGTGTATCACAAGGTACTTAAGTGAAGAGCAACCTATGTACTAAAATACAGAAATAATAGTGAATGATTAATGTAGTTATTTAATTTTTTTTTGTATTTTTTCCAAAAAAAAAACACAATCTGCTTATTTATTGCCATTAAGGCGGAACAAAGTTCGCCGGGTCAGCTAGTATTTAAATAAAAATAAAACTGTAAAATATATGATTTCGTTGAATTCATAATAATAATAATAATAAAATGTACCTATAACTTCTTACGTGCTTACGAGCACACACTCTTTTTTTGAAAACAATTAAATACATAACGAAACAGAAAAAATTGTAATAAAACAAATAATACAAATTCCAAAATAATACAAAATGAATAATGAACATAAATAATACAAAATAATGCAAAACTTAGTGTTCAATCACAAATTAACCCCTTAATTTGTAATCTCACATTATTCTTAACTTTTTAATCTTTTATAGTTTCACCGTGTATAAGTTTGCATTATATATATATATATATATATATATATATATATATATATATATATATATATTGCAAAACCATATCGTATGATAACTTAATAATTAGTTCATTTACCTACAACTAAATAAATTGCCGAATAATAATATTTTCTAATTGAACTTCCTAAGTGTCGCAATTAAGGCGTAGATTAAATTGTATTATAAGCAAAAGTTAGGTGGTGTGATATGAACGAAGCAATGATCTAAGGTGCTTATGTATCTATTATGTGTGAGATTATAAATTGGGGGATTTGAGTTCAAATGAATACAGTCAATATTGAGTAGTTACCGAACGAACACCATATTGTGTAATTACGAGTTGCTGTCAATAAATCATCACTTTTACTTCACAACTTCAACATTTATTAACCCTATCATCATCGATCGACGAGAAGCGGACAAAGGAGCATTTACGAACCGAAACGAACTTCACTACTAAGTTCGATATTTTCCACTTAGTATAACTAAATAATGTTCAGGTATGTAACATATGTTCAAATTGCTTGCCATCTTGTGCAATACAACAAGCGATTCTATCTTCGAATGATTTACTTACATTATTTAACATAGCAGGAGTTATTGAAGCAAACACGTTTGTAATTCTTAAATTCATGTCATCTCTAGTAAGAGGAGGTGTAGCATATACAATATTTTTAATATAACCCCACTTAAAAAAATCCATTTTGGTTAGTCCTGGTGATCTAGGGAGCCAATTATATGAACCACCTCTACCTATCCATCTGTTTGTAAATTTTCTGTGAAGGTAGTTCCTAACATTACGTGAGAAATGAGAAGGAGTTCCGTCCAACTGGAGCCACATTTTTGTTCGCAGACTAAGTGGAAGGTTCTCAATCAGTGTCCAAAAATCTTGTTTTAAAAAATTTATGAAATTTGTCCCATTGAGATGTCCGTCAAAAAATACGGGCCGATAACGTACTCGCCCATAATGCCGCCCCAAATATTAACACTCCATCGGTGTTGACGATCAACAGTACGAAATAAATTTTTATTTTCTGTGTCATAATAATGAAAATTATGTCTATTTACTAGACCATTAGAAAAGTCGATTCGTCTGTAAATAATACATTTCTAAAACAATCAGGATCTTTTCCAACTTTATCTAAAGTCCATTAGCAAAAATTTAAACGGTTACCATAATCTTGTTCTGTCAAGTGCTGGTGAAATTGAATGTGATACGGATGAAAGTGTTTCGTCTTAAGTATTTTACATACACTAGTTTGACTAATTTCTAATTCACCCGAAATTTTTCTTGTACTAATATTTGGATTTTCCGTAACAGAAAGCAGGACATTAAGTTCGTTAACGCTGTCACCAATAAGTGGTTTATTTTTATTTACCTTTTCGTATGCAACATTACCAGCAGCACGGAATCTATTAAGCAATCTCTCAAAAACTTCCTTGTGTGGGTGTCTTCTATCAGGATACTTTTGAGCATAAACTTTAGAAGTTAATAGACAATTTTTCAAACATTCTCCAATGCAAAGTACCATAAGATAGCGTAATTCTTCATTTTTAGGAACAATGAAAGTTAAATATTACACACGGATGTTTATATTTTGACAATTACCAGATCATAAAATAAGCCTCATATTAGATTTTGAATAATCCAAAATTGAAGTTTTTAACACCGTGAAAATAAATGTTTAATAATTAATAATGGAATAAATTTAACCATTACCCAACTATTTCGTTGCAAGAGAAAATTTGTTATAATTACTTAAATAAGTCGAGAATGAGTCTTCTTTAAAACAATTTTTTGGCTTATAATGTAGTAAATTGTGGTTTATTTTGTATTATTTGTTTTATTAAAATTCTTTCTGATTCAAAGTGAAAAAGACAGCAAATATTTGATTTCACGCAAACAGCGCTTTGTATCTGTTGATACGTATTTCGACCTAATAGGTATCATCAGAACAGTTATTCAAAGGTGTTCTCAACGTGAAAGATCAATATTTTCTGTCTTTTAAGAAGCAACACTAAAATGGCTTCAATACGAACACAATAGCGACATCTGACAATAAAACCGTAAAGTAGTTTCGAAACACAATTCAGATTTCCGCTTTTATCTGTGCTTTCCAAAAATTGCAAAGCAAAACAGACATTGATAAAGGTGTTAAAAGAGACGTGGGGAGAATATTATTATATATATATATATATTATATATATATATTTATATATATATATATATATATATATATTATATATATATATATATATTATAATATATTTATGACCAAACATAAAAACACTTTATTTAAAGAATAATGTACTTTTGTTATGCCTCTCGGCCACGTTGTTAGAATCGTGCTCTGAAAAATGTATCATATTTTTACCAAATTTTGGAATACATTTAATTGATAGAACAATTTTAATATTTGTTTTTAATACATATTTCAGTCCTCTACAAATAGTTTCTTATGACTTTTGATGTAAAATAATTAGGGAAGCAGGAATTCAACAATTTAGAATTTCTCATTGCATTTCCTATGGCCCGTTTGACGATTCACCACCCTGTATACATATATATATATATATATATATATATATATATATATATATATATATTATATATATATATCCTTTTTGTAAAGGATTTTTTAAATAAAAGTTTTTATGATTCAGGGTATACAGCTACAGGAATTTCATTTTCCTTGTGGATTTTATTGACTTAACAACAGTTGGATTGTTGTTTAACAATTTTCCCAAAAATACACGCGGAAATTGTTCAAACTGGCTATGTAAAAAAGATGGAAAGCAGAGTGCCACAAAAATGCAGTCATAAAATGCTAAAACTCACAGTAGTACTTACTTCGATAGTATTTAAAATAAAATGTATAAATTACCTTAAACCTTAATTCGCCTACGGGCGCTTTTCCGTATGGAATACATAAAAACGAATGAAACTTTTCTCCATTCAGGTCAGTTTTAGTACCCCCAGAAATTTTTCCTTCCGCTAGTTGCACCACAGGAGTCATGTTTTAGATCTACTTTAACAATAAATCCTAGAATAGATCACTAGTCATGTAAATTTCTTCGAGAAGCTACTAATTGTCACACGCAGTTCTAATATTGAATTCTTATTTGACAGAAACGTTAATCTTCCATTAAAATTATAAATGGTTAAGTGAAGGACGATATTAATATGTACATAAATTACAATAAGCAATATTTACATATAAAAATAATTATGAGGGTAATTATAAGTACTAAATTTTTTTTATTTTGAAAATAAACACATTGTAGGATCAAGGTTTTACAAGGAATTTATAATTTATTTACAATTTAAGTTGTCGAACAAAATATATTTAGATAATCGTATATGGAGCATAATTTAAGGAAAATTTTCTTTGAAAGTTATGATTATGATTGTTTCAGTGGCGGCTTTTGGGGTAGGTAGGATAGGCCGGGCCTACCCAATATTTTTAAGAGCTTTAAAATTGAAAAACATATTATTCAAAAATTATGTTAACGCATGTAAATAACTTTTAAATGTACTAAATCATTCAATACATTAGCGTCCGTTAAAGGCATTTTAAATATTATTAATAGGCCCGATCGGAATTGGCCGACCCAGCTCACATAATATCCCCGTACAAAAAGCGTTTGAAGTTAAGCAGCTTGCCGGACAACGATTTATATTGTCGTGTTTATGCTTGTGGTTTAGGCACCAGACGATCGGGCCTACGCCGACCATCGTTGTCTTTTGTAACTTAATTATCGAATTGTAATATGTAACGGCTAGCTCACCCATTGCACATTGAAACCCCTCAGGGGTGATGTTCGGCATAAACTAACTTAATTTGAAAAATCGGGAATTATTAATAAAATAATTTCTTTAACACATATCTTTATTTATTTATATTTTAATAAATCAAAATGTAATAACAATTAAATTGAGGTTCTAACAACAGGGAATTAAGCATCTATATACAAAATCTCAAGAAATAAAGAAACTTAGCTCTACTCTATGAGAAATCCTCCTGCTGTTTTCTTCTCAACTCGGACCATACAATGTCTGCAAAAACCATGCCGCTAAGCCGAAACCATGTGGATCCCTCTCCAATCCAAAGCCATGCGGATTTTCAAAATCGAGATGGATTTCTTATTCCAAAAAAAAAAAACAATTCCATTTTCGTATTCTTCGACCAAAAAATCCATGTCAACGTAAATTTTCTTATATCATAATTAAGGTGGATTTTCTTGAATAAAAATCAAGTGGATTCTCTTGAATAAAAACCAAGGTGGCCAGACCGTTGGAAGTTTCTGACCACGAGGACTTATTTTTTTAATAATACCTTCTCGTTTGCTGGTTTATTTTAAAAATAAATTAAGTCGGGTCGGATTGATAGAAGTAAATTATTTAGGAGTGGGGTTTCTGTTTCTTGTACGATAAAGTAAGCGAAGGTAGGACTACGAGGGGACTTAAGAAATTAATCAGCGGATTTATTTGTAATAGGAAAATATTGAAATAAAATATAGGAATACAAACAAAGGAAAAAGAACTTATTATCAATGAAAATCAAATAGTATGAGCAGAAAATAGTGGAAAGTACTTTGAAATTAATAAGAACAAAAATGTAACGTTTTAAACGTTACAAATATAAATTTTCTTTTAAATTACGATAAAAAAATATGTAACATAATCTATAATTTTAACATATTTTTAAACAACAACACAATTGCAAACAGGTGCACGGTTGCCCAAATAAATTTTAAAAAATTCGTTAAAATTCGAAAAAAAAAAACAATCACATTTGCATGATTTGTATATCTCCTGATTGTATGCAACTTATATATGGCAACACTGTCGCCGAGCATTAGTTCAATTTTCACTGTTATCATCTTTTATTATTAGTTGCACTAGTTGTTTGGCCAATCGAGGTTGATTTTTTTAAATTTTTTTAAATTCTGCAATTTTTGATTTATATAAAACAAGAATGGGTAAATATTTGTTTCTTTGGAGATTAATTGCAGTTAATTATTAAAAACTTTGATAGATTAGCGGATAGATTTGGCAATCGTCAAATCAGCAGTTGCCAGATGTTTGCAATTAATCTCGTAAAAGACAAATAATATTTACTCGTAATTGCTTCATATAAATTAAAAATTGCAAAATGCATAAAATAGTATATTTAAAATCTACTTTTTAAATCTGTATATTTGAAGCATACAACATAAGCATTAACAAACCATGCCAACACGGTCTGTGACACGGCCAAACTACAGAATAATAAACAATCAGAATGCCCACTTCCAGATGCCGCCTTTGAAGTTTTTGAGCACGCGCGCCATGTTTTAGAAGGAAACAATAACACAGACATATGATTTGTGAGATTATGTAATTATTTATATTTATGTTTAATTATATTATATTTATGTTATTATATTTTAATAATGTTAAAATAATTGCATAGTATGTCTACGATTGCCATAAATCAATTAAACCGCTTTAATTTTTCTATGCACACCACATAAGTTTTCATTAAACAAAACTGGTTCCCTCTAAAACATGGCGGAACGTCTGCGCGAAGGAGATGCGCGTACTTAATTTTCCATGGAGAGTGGACATTCTGATTGTTTATTATTCTGTGGGCAAACCCACGGTTCCTAGACTTACTCCGGTTGCCTCTTCCGACTGGGGTGGGGATGCTTGAGTTACGTCACAGGAATACACAAGAATACAGAACTCTTATTGGCGATTGAAACTGAATGTAGAGGGCAGCAGGTCGATTGCAGTGTCATGGCCGATATAAATGGTATAAACAAAAACAAACATAACATTCGAATATTTACCATTGCTTTTCCATTTCCATGTTTAGTTTGGTTTAAGACGAGTTATTTGTATCATTTAATAATGGAAATTAACCTTAATGATATCTTTGAGTATTGTGGTGAAGCAAAGAGTCCATTGGTTGAAGGGGAAGCAGTTTTCAAGTGATGAATTCCTAAATTTTAACTTTAATGTTTGGAACTGGCTTGTGTATTGATGATGAATCCTATTTTGTGTATACCTGGGAACCCAGAATATAATATTCTGTGTAATGTTTGCCTTAACGTATATATGCATTATTATATCTTATGTTTTTAATATGTTAATTTTTATTTTATACTATTTTTTGACATATGTAAGTACTTTATTGTATATTAACATAAATAAATAACTTTAACTTGGCTTTATTGTAAAATAGTTCATTTGATTACATGAAATTAACCTTAACTTGAGATCACCTCTCAGAAAATATAGCACATGATTTGTCTTTAAAAAATTGCATAATAAATTATTTTTTTATATAATAATTGCATAATAAATTAGTTTTTCAGTTTATTCTAGATTGGATTTAAAATACTTTAACGTAGTCATAATGCTGAAATTTACTAAAAATAATTAATAATTATATTCAAATCAACAGCTGTCTGGTTTGTTTATACCACTTTTATGCCTGGTATTGCGGTATTATAAAACATTTTACTTGCTAAGTAAAATTTAGTTTGAAAGTAAAATAATTTACTCTGCAGATTTGCGTATTTTAAACACATAGTAAATTAATTCTGGAAGTAAATCTGCAAACTAAACTATTCCTTAGTTTTCTACCAAGTAAATTTTATTTAACAAGTAAATATGACAGTTTCAATGTCTTTTCGGCTGGTGTGAAAATATTTAGATTTAATAATATTTTGAAATGTCTTCAGTATCATCAGTGTCAGATGTTAATTCTCCAACTGTATCTAGTGTTGATAGTGACTGGTATTTTTCAATAAATATACAGATGGATTGTGATGCAAATTTAAATGTAATCAATGTAGTTGCTAGATGGCCTGGTTACTCCCACAATAGTCATGTATTTGATAATTCTCTGATAAGAGCTCAGTTTGAAAACAATGAGTTTTGTGAAACATATTTACTGGGTGATAGTGGTTATCTATGCCGAAAATATATTTTAACTCCCTTACATGATCCACAAACGCCAGCTGAAAGGAAATACAATTATACACATATCCACACACAGAATACAATTGAAAGAATGTTTGGTGTCTTAAAGAGAAGGTTTCCTTGTTTGTCTACGGGACCAATGGAATAGAAACACCACTAAATTGATAGAAATAAAATCTTCCGTCCTTCCATGATACTTCAGGCCTTCAAAGCGACAACATCAAATCCCAATAAGAAGTCTCAGATTAGGACACACCTCTACAACACATGAAGACTTGTTGAAGAGAGAAAAGTGTGTTATGTTTGTGAATATAAAGTGATAATGAAGCACATACAGTTGCAAGACTATATCACCTCATTCCAAAATGTAAAGAGTGTCTAGTCAGTGTAAATAGAGCTATTCCAATTATAGTGGCAATTTGTGTATTGCATAATATATGTAGAAGGAGGAATGATGTGCTGACTGATAGTGAAGATGGCAGTAATCACGCGGAGTCAGAAGATAAAAATTTAAACAAGGTCACTAGAAATCAAGATAATTTTGCTGTAAGAAATGCTGTCATTCGTACTGCATTTATTAATTAAATAAAATGTTTATTTTAAAATTATTTACGGTTCAATAAAACATAATATAAGAATTATGAGTGTTTTAATTATTGTATATGTATTTTTAATTTAACAAAAAAAGTGTTGACAATTCAAATAGTCACAGAAATAAAATTAACTTAATTGTGTCAACTTTTTCTTATTAAACTCTGGTAATAAATCTATGAAACAAACTAAATATAACACCAGTAACTTAATGAATATGATATTTATGATACTATAATGAACATGTATTTTTATTACAGAATTTTTCTACAATAAATACATACTTATAAGAAAGTGTTTATACCCACTTTTAACAGATAACTTTGTGAAAAATAGGCAAAATGTTACGGGATCTATTAGTATTTCATTTATCTATAATATTCTCAAGCGATACATTGTCATTTCAAGGAAGTCATGAAAATAAGATCATATCAGCAAGTAGATACATAATCCTTTCATTTTACGGTATTTGAAAAACAAAGTATGTACATATATTTCAGTTTCATTGTTCAGTTTTTTGTGTTTATTATTATTCTTGAGTAAAGTGTTTGATTTTAAGACGGCAAAATGGAATTTGTGTTGTAAAAATATTAGATGAAATAAGCATTCCTTAACTTTTCCAGAGGACACAGCAAGGTTTGTAAATTATTATTTCCTCTTAAATATTGTTTGGGTACCAGTATATTATGATGTCATTTATATGATACTTCTACAATAATAAGATAACCAATTTTTATTTTAATAACTAATTTACAATAATATAAAATTAACCAAACGGTATTAAATTTCTAAATTCTCGAACTCAACCCCATATTGATGTTTCAGTTGTAGAATCTTTTCTTTAACTGCCAACTCTTTTGTGTCTGTTTCTCTTTTCTCTGTTTCTGTTTTTCTAATTTTAAAACGTCTCTACTTAACTCTTCCTTTTCTTTTCTAATTTTAAGAATACTTAATTTTATTTTTTCCTTCTCTGAATCTTCTTCACACTTATTATTCTTTTTGTGATGTGGGACTTAAAGGCAAACTAAATGCACGACCAAATACTTACCATGTCGAGATAGCATTATGGGGTTTTTTCCTGGTTTTTCCCTCATAATTTACTATGGAATCACTAACAGGAGAATTTTACTGTCATCATGGCATGTGTTTGTCTTTTTAAAGATGAATTACATGCTATGATTTTTTTCTGACAGATATTCTCAAGTTAATGTTGATTTCATGTAATGGAATGAACTATCTTATAAGTAAAGTCGTTCCAAGAGCACAACTCAACAATATTGGCAATATCATTTTAAAGTCGTCTACTTTAAAATGCATAATGTATGTCTGAATTGTCAATATAAATGAGTCAGATAAAATTAAATTATTAGAAGAATTTTTCACTAAGTAACAAAAAAACAAAATTTGTTTTTAGTGTTTGTATTTTGAGAACAATTTCTGAAGTGGAAATTGAAATGTTAATAAACATATTTTAACCTTTAATTGGGGCTTATTCCCAGTTAAATAGTAATTAATTTAAAATGCCACAAGAAAATAGCTTCAGAACAACATTAATTACATATGTTTTACCTTTCTGTTACTGCTTGGCATTTTGCAGGGGTGACAAGAAATTTAACATATCTTGGCAACAGATGTTCTACCATCGCATCAGTTACTTCTGTCAATACTTTACTAAAAGTGGACCTTTCCATGGTAAAAAAAAATAAAATATAGTATATAATAAAATAAAAAGTAAATAAAATATAACATATTGGAATATATTCACTCAATTCTTAATATAAACAACATATCTTGGTTTCATGTGCTAAAGCATTTGATCTTTGCACTTGTCTTAGATGGGGCTGGAGACTTTCGAACCAAATGCAAAGACAATTCCCTCGATAACTTAAATATCTTTTAAAATACGGCTTCCACTAATTCCACTGGATTTACCAAATCTCGCAAAAGTCTTCTCTGAATGTTTTCTTCATCCCTATCAATAAAATAATTTTGTTTACAAAACATAACCTAAATAAATAATATACTATCAAAGAATATAGACGCTTATAAGCGTCTATATTCTTTGATACTATAATTAAAAATATCTTTAACAAACCTTCGAATAGCATCATCTAATTCTTCTAATAACTCATCGTTTAGAATCCGGCCAAAATTCTGGACTAAATAATTCATTTTATATTTTTATTAACTACACGTTATTCCCATCTACAAATAGTATGAGATTAAATCATCTCTTTAAATTGAACCTGTTATCAGAGAATATAATATATTATGTTAGCAAGATAACGTAAAACGTTACCACATAACGTTTTTTTTTTACAAACGTTATCTGTGATACATGATCATGATACATGATACATCACATCATTTATTTTATTTATAAAACATTTTTGTTTTGATACATCCATCCAATCACAGGGCTGATTTTTAAGATTCAAATTACGTCACAGGAATACAGTTCAGCTTAATGTTCATTGGTTAGGCGGAAGAGGCAACCGGAGTAAGTCTAGGAACCGTCAAAGACCATTTACAGAGTAGATGGTCTTTGGGAACCGTGGGGCAAACAGAAATATTTTTGACATTTGCGGCTATCTTCAGCTTGTACTTTCCGTAAACTCAACCGGTTTTTCGAACCCCCGCCCATTGTAACGTCAGAGCTTATGTAGGCCCAGAGATATGTAAGTGTTTGTCTATGCTGTGCCCTGCCCATCGAGCAAGAAGATAAAAGAGGGAATGTAAAGGTAGTGGGGACAAAAATATTGTTAGACAGGAAGTGCTATCTTGAGAGGCCACTTTAAACAAGGAAAGACAGTCTCTTTCCTTGTTTAAGAAGTCAAATTTAGTTAGGTTATGTTATTGTTTGTCCCAACTGTCACATGAAATTTTATTTATATCGAAATATTTTACCAATTGTGTCACTTTTTAGACTATTATAGTTAATATTTAATTAAAACTTTCTCGTCTGAAAAATATTTTATAGCTATTGTTAATAAGTGTTGAAAAATTTAAATTTAGCGCCTTTGCATTTCCGGATATGTCCGCCATCAGAGGCCACTTTTTTGGTCTCCTTTTCATAACGATTAGATTCCCTCTTTTATCTTTTTGCTCGATGGCCCTGCTACAGAATAATAAACAATCAGAATGCCCACTTTGAGATGCCGCCTTTGAAGTTTTTCATCACGCGCGCCATGTTTTAGAAGAAAACACATAACACAGACATATGATTTGTGAGGTAATGTAATTGTTTATATTTATGTTATTATATTTAACAATGTTAATATAATTGTATAGTATCTATTCTATGATTGCCGTAAGTCAATTAAACCGGGTTAATTTTTCTATGCACACCACATAAACAACACTATTTCCATCGCGTAACGTCTGCGCGAAGGAACTGCGCGTACTTAAGCTGGATTTATAGTTTGACGGACTGTAGACGCAGACGCACTGGAAAAAGATCAACATAGACTTTTGTGTACTCCTATTTATAAATGAACGTAAACGCAAGACGGGACGTAAGCGAAACGCACTGTAACGGAAGAGTTGGTCAACTTTCAACTTTTACAGTGCGTTTCTTACGTCTGACCAATCAAAAGAAAGAATGGGTTATGTTCATTGCACCAATATTGAAATATGCCAAAAATTGATCTGGATCTTCTTTCTTCATCTTTAAAAAATAATTATAAGCATTCTCTATTTTTCTATTACGGTTTATTGGTCTTGTTTTATAACGTCTTGGTCGCATTATTATTGTCCTTCTAGTTTTTTGCAATGCTACTGCACCCAGCACAGCAGCAATCCTACAGCGCCAAGGAGCATACCTTCGTATATTTCACAATCCATTCTAACACGCAAAAAGGAAGAAAAAATATTATAATAAACAATAGTATAAACACACACCCTTTGTTTATTATGAATTCTGATTCCTATAATTGTATAATTTATAGGTTATATTGAATGTTGTGGGTCACCAATTCTTGTCTTTACTCATGCGCAAAAAATCCACTACGTCCATTTATAAATTGAAAAAATATTTACAGTCCGTTTCTTACGTCTCCAGTGCGTCTACGTCTACAGTACGTCAAACTATAAATCCAGCTTAAATTTTCCATGGAGAGTGGGCATTCTGATTGTTTATTATTCTGTGGCCCTGCGCTGGCGTGCCGGAAACAGTAGAGCGAGTGTCAATGTCAAACTGTCAATGTCAATGGTGTTGGCGTTGTTGTGAGAACAGGAACAGACTACGTCCATTTTTCGTTTGGTTTTAATGTTTGTAGATGCTGTTGTTGGTTGCTGTATTAAAGTAGCAACAAAAAATATAGACGCATATACCATAGATAAGAAGATTAGGGCATATACGTCTATACTCTTTGGTGAAAATGTTCTATCTGCAGGCATATTCTCTATAAAAGATGAATCTATAATCCAACAAATGAATTTATATTTGACCACAAGTAAATGTATCGTCGACAACTAAGGACTGTAAGTAATATAATTAGTTCATAACTACCATTAATCATATTCTTAGTTCCTTGTATTTGGTTTTAAGTATACAGGGTGGTGAATCGGCAAACGGTCCATAGGAAACTCAATGGTAAATTCTAAATTGTTGAATTCCTGCTTCCCTAATTATTTTACACCAAAAGTCATGGGAAACTATTTGTAGAGGACTCAAATATGTGTATTACGTGTTGCGTTTTGTCATATTATTGTTTCTGATATTTGACAATATTTAAATCAATTATATTATATTTATCTATGATTTAAATGGCCAAAATTTTATGATTTAATGTTTAAAAAAAATTAAGTTGATTAAAAAATGTACTCAGTTGAAGAGAAAAAAGCAATAATAAAAATGTTTTCTTCATGTTTTATTATAATATTTGTTATAGTTTTATGTTTAGAAATAATCATATATTATTATTAGGAATAAAGATCACAGTAACAGTATATTGGAATTCATTGAATAGTTGTATAACTTAACTTAACATGGAATTAAATTTTAGTGAATTAGAATACCTATCTTACGTTAAATAAAGATCCGGTAGTGGCAGGAAAAGGTTCGCGCCGTTATGCGATTTTTCGTCAACTGAGTACATTTCATTATATTGATCGATTTGTAAACAATATTATTTATTGTTCACAAAGTAATAATGTTCAGTAGTAGTAGTATTTAGTAAAATTCATTGTTTATAATTTAATCATAAAATAAAAAGATTGACAATTCAAATTGTCAAACATCTGACATTAATAATGATAAAACAAACACATCCTAATATATATTCTTGCATTACGTGTGGCCTAACTTTTAGGGGTGGTCTGAAAAATGTATCACATTTTTTTAAAATTTTGAAGTACAGTTGATTTGTAGAACGGTTTTAACATGTGTTTTTAATTCAGATTTTAGTCCTCTACAAATAGTTTTTTATGACTTTTGATCTAAAATAATTAGGGAAGCAGCAATTCAACAATTTAAAATTTCTCATTGAGTTTCCTATGGTCCGTTCGACGATTCACCACCCGGTATATATTTAGACAATCATATTTATAGCAGTAGAGGACATTCGTAGTAATTGCGTATTGCCCAATTAATCCAAATTGCATACATTTCTGAATGTGAAAATCAAATCATAATCGATCTGCAGGTTGCCATACGTGTTTATGGAAAAATTGTATAGCTCTTTGAGGCCATATTATTTTATTTGTTAATTCGGGACATGATAATAGATAAATTTCATTCTTGATTATTATTTCTGTTAGAATTGTTCTCTATTGCTCTAGCAAAAGGTTTCGTTTTTATGCCACTCCTAACTATTCTTTCTTTAGCTACAATCAATTTCTCTTCCATATAAGAGATATTGAACAAACTTATAATGTATATTGTTAATTGTGTCAGATAATTTTTATATATGGTTTCTTAAATATTTAAAATTTTATGATATTGACACATAGAATCTCCATTTAAATTATTTGTTAGATATTCTATTTTATTGTGATCCATATTATCATCATCAGCTGGACAATCCTTTATGAGTCTTGTCTTCCAGGATTTTTCTCAATTCTGATCTGTTTTGTTTTCTTTTTCCTGTTGTAATTTTTAAGGTTAGCCCCATGCAAGTTTGGGTTTTCCATTTGACCTGTTTCCTACTGATGCCTCACATATTATTTTCTTTTGTGTTTCCTTTTGCGACTCTTCAGTGTTCCCAAAACATAAAAAAATAGAATCAGTAGAATTCTTTTAAAAAATTGGTAGATTGTGGAGTCAAATCGGTAGATCTTTCAAAATATAATATTTTGTTTAAATTTCATAAAGTATTGCAATTCGTTTATTTAAGAAAGAATAAAATATTTTTAACTGACTGAAATTTAAATCTTTAAATGAGTCTGTGACTAGGAATCGAATACTTAAACGAGAACCAAAACCTCTAGTATAAAACCCTTTTACAAGGAAATATTATACAACAAACAGACTACCGAGTTTTTATGTGAGGTGCACTCAGAAGCTTAGATTAACTATGCGTTGTTCCAGTTTTAAGTCTCCCAACTTGACAAATTCCCAGAACCAAGCAGTCGGGATCACAATGGACTGGATTCATTTATTATTGTATTATTAGCTTTTATGACATCATGGACTTTGTAAAGTACCGCTTAGGTATCATTTAAGAATAATTTTTTGAATGTTTTCACATGTTTTCGTGAATATGCAATGTTGTATTCTCCTATTCTTGATTCTGTAGCTGCCTTGTTGTGCTCGGCATGCATATATTTTGGCCTGATTGATTTTAATGCCACTATTTTCTGCAGTTCATTCTATTTGATTGAATGCATCTATTGTTTCTCTTATTAACCTTATGATTATACACAAATGCTAGTATTTGCATATTAATTATTGTTCTTCAAGCTTCTACTGTTGTATCTCTTACTATTTTTTAAGTATGATGTTGAACAAGATGCATTATAGGGTATCTCCCTGACATAGTCCCTTTTTCACAACTATTAATTTGTTTTGTATCCAGATTTTACTTTCTACTTTTAGAATTTCTTTTATCAACACTAGTAGTCCTGTTGGCAAATTAATTCTTTTATTGTTTGTATTAAAAATTGTTAGTGTATATTGTCATAAGTATATCTTCTTTTTTTTTTCTATAAAGTGATGATTTGTAGAAGTTTATTTATTCAAAAATAGGAAAAGCCCTAATATACATAAAAATAATAAATTTATAACAATTATATATATATATATATATATATATATATATATATATATTATATATATATATATATTTACATCCTACTATCCTTAAGGACTCAAACCATAGCGCAACCTTACGGCCTCTCTTATTTCCAGGTGTATATAATATTTTAGTCGTCGTGTATATCGAAACAGGTAACAAAACATTCTTAATGCCCTAGTTTCTATTTGGATAAAACAAAATTTAACATATACTCTCCCCCTCTATTGTGGTCTTGGGGCCTCATATACACGACCTTATAGACTCATACGGTGTTGTCAATTCGCTCACTGCGTATTTCGATAATTCGGGGATTCCCCTCTTTATTTCCTATTTAAGCCAAGAAAGTTATTTCTCATTTCGCGATTGTTTAAGTAATGGATACCTCAAAATAGATTTATGATCTTAAAAACGGCAAAAGTATAATATTTAAGTAACCTATATTTTAAACAGAAGCTTATAAATGACAAAATATTGTTATGATTTCTAAAAATTTGAACCTGATATTTATTGAAAGAAATATAATAATTTTGGTTATTTAAGTCAATGTAATACTTTTTAAGAACATTTAACACAACTGGACGCAAATTAATGAGATACCATATTCTTACAAATATAAATTAATAATACCAGCAAGTATTATGTAGGGAGCCTGATCTAAGCTAACGTAAGGACTGGCCACAATTTAGTTTTGGAAAAAGTCATCTTAATTCGATTAAGAATCATAAAACACAAACTACCAACACTAGAAACTAAAATTAATAAAGACAATTTTGACAAAAAACTATATCAAAGTAGGCTAGATCAAATAATTTAACAACAAAGCGTTACATGCGATGAAGATAACTAAGTTAGTTGGGAAAAGAATTAAAACAACATAAAGCAAACAAGCCTTCTTCTTCTTCAAGTTCCACTCCTATCGGAGATTGAAAATCATTCTGGCAATTATAATTTTATTGGTTACTCGCCTGAATAGTTCAATTGAACTGCACCCAAACCACTCACGGAGATTGCGTAGCCACGAGATTTTACGTCTTCCTACGCTTCTTCTACCTTTGATTTTACCCTGCATTATATTCCTTAGTAGTTCGTACTTTTCACCTCTCATGATGTGCCCCAAGTATTCCAATTTCCTGATCTTTATGGAATTTAAAACTTCGCATTGTTTTCCTAGTTGTTCGAGAACTTGTTCGTTTGTTTTGCGATCCATCCATGATATTTTCAAAATGCGTCGGTAACACCACATTTCGAATGCTTCTAGGTTTTTAATGTTGGATTTTTTAAGTGTCCAAGCTTCAACTCCATACAAAAGGGTAGAGAAAATATAACATCGAAGCATTCTTATCCGGAGCGATATATTGATATCGCGATTACAAAAAAGTTTTCTCATTCTATTAAAAGTTGACCGCGCAATTTCAATGCGGCATCTTATTTCTTTTGTCTGATCAGTATCTTCTGTGATCCATGCTCCAAGGTATTTGTACGAAGATATTTGTTCAATTTCTGTATTATCTAGTACTAGCTTAACTTTGATGTTTTGTGCTTTTGTAAATACCATGAACTTGGTTTTCTTCAAATTGATTTTTAGTCCATAATCGTTGCAATATATATTTAGTTGTTCAGCAAGGTGTTGCAGTTCTTCTAGTGTTCCTGCCAAAAGGACGGTGTCGTCAGCATATCTTATGTTATTAAGTGGCTCACCGTTTATTATAAGGCCCTCACTGATCTCGGCAAGCGCTAATTCTGAGATGGCTTCACTGTATAAATTGAATAACAAGGGTGATAAAATACACCCTTGGCGGACCCCACGGCGAATCTGGATATCCTTGGTCAGTTCGTTTTCAACTTTCACTTTTGCTGTTTGATTCCAATAGAGGTTACAGATGATTCTAATGTCTCTACTGTCTATGTTTTTATTTAATAAAATTTCTTTAAGTCGATTATGCTGCACTCTGTCAAATGCCTTCTCAAAATCAATGAAACAGGCATATACTTCCTGATTAATATCTAAGCATCTCTGCGAAAGAACACTTACTGCAAACAGTGCATCTCGTGTTCCCAGACCTTTCCTAAATCCCATTTGTGTATTACTTATGCCTTCATCTAATTTCTTATGTATTCTATTGTGAATTACTTTTAAAAACAATTTCAAGATATGACTCATTAAGGCTATGGTGCGATGTTCATTGCACTCCTTTGCATTGGCTTTTTTGGGAAGCAGTATGAATGTTGATTGGAGCCATTC